TACTTACGAATCCATAACCTCTGGATTTGCCCGTCTGCCGGTCAGTGATAACAACGGCCTCTTCGATTTCTCCAAACACCTCGAAGTATTTTCTCAGACTTGAGTCGGTTGTGTGATAAGGAAGACCTCCCACAAAGATCTTGGTGAAGGTGGTGTCTTTCTGTGCCGCGTGCATTGTGTGAAAGCTGTGTTTCAAAATGATTTCCGGGGAGTTTTAAAAGTTAGATAAAGGAAAGAGGAGCGTTCAGTGTGCGGACAGGAGGCCCCCCGAAAGTGTGACTGTGCGTCTGAAAGAGGAGGAAGACACCTGTTTGTTGTGTGTGTGCTTCCCAGTTGTCAGTGTGCGTGACACGGATCCTTAACTCCACCCAGATCCAGACCACCACACCGTGTTCAGGCTCCCTACTGTCGCACAACTGCTGAAACTGTCACAAGGGCACGCAGCGTAGAGCTGAATAAAGTTACTCAGTTACTTCGACCATGTATGTTCATATATAAGTTAGGGTTGACTGGGAAATAATAGCATGTTGGGAATGTCAGTTCTCCCCGGAAACTCGTGCAGTCCGTGGGTGCACAGCACTTGCTGGGGTGTAATTTAATAAGTTCATAATGAAAGTGCAAAAAAAAAAGCTGAAAATCTTGCTCAAATAATGTATTCTTTACTATCGTCTTAGTTTACTGTAGTATAAGCTGTTTTTTTGTGTTTTTTTTACCCTATAGCACCTCCTCCTATTGGAAATAAACAGAATCAATCATCAATATCCGGATATAATAGACACTTTTAAAAATAGTTTGTTTTTTGTTTGTTTGGGGAACAATTTGGGGAAGTTACTTTACAGTTGTGGTTAGAAGTGAGCATGACCCGTCGTAATTTGGGGCTTTTAATAACTTCCATGAACTTTTTTTTTTTCCAGGGTGGAGTTATTGCACAGCATACATCTTTAATGAAGAAAACAAGAATTGGGTGCACAAGTTTGAACTTCTTTTGGATTTTCTCTAATCCACACAGGGTAAAAAAAAAAAAAAATAAAAATAAAAAATTATATATTATATATTATATATATATATATATATATATATATATATATATATATATATATATATATATATATATATATATATATATATATATATACACACTCAAATAATTACATATGCTTACTTAAATCTTTTAATAACTTTTGTCTTTTAACTTTGCCAAGGCCCATGAAGTTTCAGATTTGAGAGAATCAAAAATAAATTCAAACTTGTGCGTCCAGTTTAAAATAGTTAAATATGTATGCTGTAAAAATCATTCCACCCTGGAAAAAGAACAGTTTAAACAAATCCTTAAAAGCCCCAAATTACCATGACACTCATGCCTGTGATGAGTGTATGTAAACAGACTACCATAACTGTAGGTTAAAAGCACCTCAAACATGACACCACTGGCTACAGACAGGCTGGAAAGATTTAAAACTATTAAAGGGCTTCATCATTTTAAGGGGGCAACGTACTTATTCCTGTTTCCAGGATGTTTATATTGTCCCTGGCGATATTTCACACATGCTGCACATCTTAAAGTAAAATGTGTTCTATTATAACATCATTTGAAAGTTTTTTTTTTTAAAAACATGAGATTATTGTAAATTCATTACCCGTATGCTATCTTCTCCTGTACACCTTAGACATAGCATTCTTATTTAGATCTCAAAACAGTGCAGTTATATGAAAAAGAAAGTTTTCAAACAAAGTACACCCTCACTGCTTCCATAGTAATTAAGAGGGTAATTGATTAACTTGATTAACAGATCATTCACAGGTGTGTGTGAACAATCAGATGTGTGTTGACACAACGCCACGGTCTTAACCAGAGAGTGAGCAAATTCACCCCAAGGTCAGACCATGCAACACTCTGGGAAACTGCAAAAAACCAAAGAGCTACATCTCAGACTCTACAGGCCTCAGTTAGGATGTTAAATGTTAAAATTCATGGCAGTAAAATTAGAAATTAGGAAGAAGAATTCGGAAGGGTTGCCAGGAGAAAGCATCTTCTCTCTAAAAAGAACATGGCAGCACAGCTTATGTTTACAAAGTTGTAACTAAAGATACAACAAGACTTCGGGACACTAGTGTGTTCTTTTGAATAATGCTGTGTTTGGTCAAAATCAGTCACAGACTATTGGCGCAAACACATCATTCCCACCGTGAACAAGGGTGGTGGAGGAATGGTTATTTGGGTTTGTTTACAGCCACAGGACTTGGGCATCTTGCAGTCATTGAGTTGGCCATGAACTCCTTCTCATTACCAAAGTAATGTAGAGTCAATGTAGGTAGTTCTAAGAGCTACTGAATCATAGGGTGCATTTAGATTTTCACTGAACTGCATAGAGTCCTGTGAAAACTTTCTTTTTGCAAGGACGTAAATTGCTGTATACTGTTGCTGTTTCCTATTCCAAATATTAAAACTGCACTACATCCCAGCATAGGACGGAACTAAAAACACAAACTGCTGGCTAATCCTACATTATCACCAGACTTTTTTTAATTGAAAAAAAAAAGAAGTTAATATTAGACTACATTTTAATATATGTATATATATACACATCCAGGAAACAGGTTTGTCAGCCTGAAGGTATCGCTACATTAGATAAATGCAGTGGTTAAAAGTAACTTCTTGTTTTTTCTTTTTTCCTGCATCTGAATCCTGAATTTCAAATTTACTTGCATATACTAGTTAGGTAAATACACTAGGTTAGCATGCATGAGCAGAATGAAGAGTCAACACATACACTGATTGTAAATGTTCTATTCTAGAACATTTTGTACCAATTAAACAATTCAAGATACATTATAAATACAATTCTGTACATTATAATAGTGTATGTTCAAATACATTTCTATTTACAACTCCTTTTTAGGGAGAGCAGCTTTGTTCTCTTCTTTAAAGTAAGGTTCTTGGGTTTCTTTCTTTTACTTGCAATTACAGCTTGAATATTTACCTATTTCTAGTCAGTTCCACAGTTCACTGCTTTGATAAAACACACGTTTGTAGGAAACTCTTCTTCATACCTAAGCTAATTTTCTCTAACCCGATGCTGTCCATCGCCCCTTTATTCAATCCTCCATGTGAAAAACTGAGTTATTGAGTACCTTTTAAGATGTAGCATCACTCATCAGTCTGTTAGCATGTAAAATGGAGATGGACATCCGCTAAAAAGGCATTCAATCAGTCAGTCAGCAAGGCAGGATGGCATTTTGAATACTTGTGGGTTTCAAAATATACATACAGGTTCTGATCCATACAGCTATGGTTATAACTACTGAGTATTTTGGGACTTATGTGCCTCTTTTTATAGAAACAGGGCAATAAGGCATCAGTATAACCAGCCTCAGACAAAACCTAGCTGCTTTGTACATCTAGTGTTGACACACAGTTCATCGGTTGCAAATATTTCATCAGTCCATCGTGGAAGACAGTCAACAAACTCTCCAAGAATCCTTTCCAGTGCAAGCATTCGAACACCAACAGTTTCGTGCTGGATGGATGGGGATTATTTCCTCCACAGTGTTACAGTACGTCAACAGCAACATTTCTAACTGCAACTCGGGTTTGCAGATTCGTCTTATGCTCAGGGTATGTGGCATTACTCCTAGAGATATGGCACTAAGCTTTAATTGGACACATCGATTTGTAGCAAATACGTCCACATACGCACATTAGAAAAATAACATGTAACTCATAACAGCAGATATGGAACCGAAGTTCTTTGGTTAGCCCTGATATTTCATATTGATGTAAATATCAATGTTTATTAACAGTAGTACATTCTTAATCTTCATATCCCAGATTACTCCATTATGAGCCTAGGGGGAGCTGGGGGGGGGGTGGCTGGAGTGCATTGCCTTACAAAAATACGGTAGTGTTCAGAACCAATGTAACAAAAAGTATGTGGGTAATATTGTATAAAGACTCCCAGATTAAAGTTTTCTATAAAAATATCACCATATAGAAAACTAAGATATGTGCATAGTGATTTTTTTTGTTGTTGTCAGTGAACAATAATTAGGATATACCTTCATTAAATGCACAGGTAAGATATGCTTTCAGACAGCACAGACTCCTTCAGCTCAGAGAATTGAGTGGTCAAAAAGATAATACGAAGGGAGGCCGAAGAGGATCTGAGGACCACGCTCAGATCCCTGCAACTCCCCGGAAAATGCGTCCTTCTTTGGGTCCTATCTGATCAGAGTCTGCGGTTCAGTGTCCATGGAGGGTGGTCCTCTGGTGAGACGAGATGGCTTCACAAACACGCCGTGGCCTGGGGGACAGCGGAAGTACACCCTGCCCTGGACTGTCCCATTGTGCTTACCTATAGGATGAGGCATAACTTATTAGAGGAGTTATGGCTCACTTCTAATCACTTTTAATGTAGACTTCTCTTACAAACACGTTTTACAAAACAAGTAAAATGTAAATAAAATCAGAATAAAAAAGACTTTTTAAGCCTTTCAGAAAAAAAAAGTCATTTTAAACTTGATGCCAGCAAAACATTTCCAGAAAGCGGTCTTTCAGGAAAAAAAAAATGTGGATTAGGATCCGAAAGAAGAAGAAGATGAAGAAGAATCTGCACATGCAACTGCAGGGATCCTTAATAAAAAAAAGTGCAAAGTAGCACCTCTGCAGTCCAGACCTGCTACTCTCTCAGAGCATTTGACACATTGTGAAATGAAGGCTGGACTGTTGAGCAGCTGAAATCTTATATCAAGTATGGACATAAAACACATTTTGATGTCATGACTTTTTAAAAATGTGTTCCTGAGCTTTGTATTAAATGCTTCGTTCTACACGTCTGTCTGCTGCTGGCACTGTGTCCAGCAGGTTTGGATCACAATTGTTCAACAGTTTAATGTAATGGCCTATTTTCACTACAGAGACCTTTTGGCACGTTCTGCTCCGCTGTGCTTGGAAATCTATCTTGGTCTAGTGGATCACTGACAGGTGTCCTACTCTTTCTATCTGAAGCTCTTCTGCACCATTAAAGGATAAACCCTTTTTATTCTACCGGACCTGGGACCCATTTCTTCATTACCTAATCGCCTCTGCATTTTCCGGGATGATATATGAGTCAACAGTATGTATTGTGTTGCCTTTACTGGAATGTGATGTTTGTTTAGCTTCCTTTTTATTTTTTTTCTTCCTCTCTCAGTCAGGTTTAGTTCCCTGTAATTTATACACAGTTTGTATTACTACAGTATTTGCCTGCTTTGCAAAAAAAAAAAAAAAAAAAACCCCCACAAAACTTTGGCTTTTTTTTACTGGCATCAAAAGCAAAATGTGCAATTTTGTCTGAGGCTGGTTATAGAATTTTATAGAATATAGAATGTATTTGTGCTTTTTTCTTTTAAATATAGGGATTTACTAATTTCTGTGTCCTGTTTTACTAACATTCACGCTGTGTTTCAGCTTTATTAGTAACAGGGTAGCACACAGAAAAAAACCCACATGTTATATGATACGTACAGTATATTAAGTGGAAACTGCCCTGGGGTCACAGATTTATTGCTGTTTGTCACAGTCTGACTCATTTTCTAAACTATGAGTCAGTCTGTGATGACTACAACACATCAAAACTAAGACACCTTTTCCCCCCCTGCTTTTCCTCTTGTATACCACTTGGGGGCAACAGAAACCCCCTCAAAAGTATGAGATCCCTTATGAGATTGATATGGAAAACTACGAAAGCTTGTTTCTGCTATTTAAAAAGAACTATTTTTTGCCATCCTCAAGGCAAACTTTTCAGGTTATTATCTCAAAATTTTGACGTATCTATCTAATGTACTAACTCGTTAGTTTTGACTTATCTCAGCCAATCAATACATTTTTAAGCACAACGTATAAACTGGATGCACAGACAGTTTCCTGTTTTGTACAGCCAGAAAACCCAAATCATCATTAGCATTCATGTGAAGTTTGTGTTCACCTGTTTGTTGTCTCCAAAACAGACCAAAGAGAAATACCAGTTGCTAAATGCTCCACTATGTTTATCCATTAGCCTTTAACAGAGCCTTTGAGATCTTTCCTGCTTGGCACTGAGTGCACAGGCCTTAAGTGTTTGGTTTTTTTTGCTTTTGTTTTCTTGTTTTGTTTCCTAGAAACAACAGCCTGCTGACACTAATGGACCAGTCAGAGTGGATTAACAATCCCACCACTAAAAGCAAACCTCGCTCTCCTGTAAGTCGCTCTTCTAATCCTCTAATAGACAGTCAACAGGGGGTTACAGCGATTTTGTTTCACCACATAGCCCCACATGTGCGTTAGCCGTGACTGACACCAGTATTTAAGGGATTAATAAATACTATATTTATATTGCTGTTAATAACTGCATAGCCTTAAAGACAACATGTATAAATTAATCATTAAGTTTTTGACTAAGGAATACAGGACATCAGATATATGGAACATTCAGACTGTTTAAACGAATCATTCTTTCCTGTAATAATTACTTTTCTTGGGGGTCTACAAACAGAAGTTTTAAATGGACTCACCCACTGCCATGTCCAGCTTCACACCAATCCAGATCCCCTTGGCAAACTCCACCCCTCCCACATAGTGGACCGTTCCTCTCCTCTTCCCCACCCACACCTGCTCACCAGGTGCCATCCAGTCAGGAAGCTGAGCAACAGGAGTGCTCTCATCCCCACTGGAGTCTCCAGAGGGCTCGGCGCTGCTGGGATTTGGACTGGGACAGGGACTTCCATGGGGCAGATCCCCTTGGGCTGGCTCCTGAATGGGAGGTTCTCCTCCTGCTCGCAGAGCTGGAGCTGAAGACGTGGCTGTAGGTAACGATGTGAGTAGAGATGGCGATTGTGGAGGTGGGACCGATGCAGCAAGATTTATTTGGGCTGGAGAGGCGGAGACTGGGGCTCTGACTGAAGTGCAAAACACTGTTGTGTTAGGGCAGGACACACCTACACTAACGGCGTTTTCATAATTAGGATATTTGCATATTGTCTTTTCGGGAAGAGATGTCTTAAGAATACCAGAGACATCAGAAGTGAGCTGATTGTCAGTGTCACGTGTTTCTACATCGACTGTTTTCTTCTGCTCGTTTGTACAAACCTCCAACCCCTCCTCCCCCCATCCCTGTGTAAAATGTTCCAAATCAGCTACACCAACGCTGTCATCAGCCCCTTTAAAGTCAGTAAACTCCTGGCTGGTACTGAGTACACAGTTGTTTGGTGAAGGGAATGACTGTGGCTTATCAGTGCAATTAGGAATACTGATAGGTGAGGAGGCTGAATGGATGAGCAGGTCCTGAACCCCATCTGCCGAAAGAGGTCGTGGCTGAGCATCACTCCCCGCAGAAACACTTTTGGTTCGGGTGCCGCCTCTTCCAACAGGGCAGCCAAGAGGGTCATGGGAATCTCTGGAGGTGCAGCTGATATGGTCAGAGCTCTCACTGGCACTGAAAGGCATGTCAGACAGCGTGGCATTGGAGGCACTGTGTGAAAAGTAACCACTAGTGCAACTGCTGTTCGTGGGGCTTCGCGACACCTCTCTCTCGCTGCTCCCACCTCCACAACGGCTCCCCTTCAAGTCAGAGCGAAACCCCTCCTGGCTCTCCAGAGTGGCGTTGTAGATCTCAAAGTTTGCAAAGTCCTCTGGGATGTAAGGCTGTAAGGTGCTTTGGTCCTGAGAGCCACGATTTAGACTTAGAGCCATGCGCACATCCGTCTCCTCGTCTTCAGAGTCCTGCCGATCAAAAGAAGAGCAGCGGGACAAAAGACACACCAGGTCTGATGTTAGTTACAGCACGTATAGCCTATGTGAAGACTATTTACAGAAAGAGACTGGAGACAATGAAAATGGTTGAATGTAATGATGGAACAGAGCATAATGTATGAATATTGTGACACTTTTTTCTTTGATCTTTGATAACTTTACTGGTGTTTGCTGCTTTAAATTTGCATTCACATGCTGCATGTCCTTTAACGTGACCCATCAAGTTAAACACCTATCAAACCACTCATTCTACACTTAGGTCCACGATTTGTTGGGCAAAGACATAATTTGTGTATTTCTGTAGACCGCCATTTAAATGAAACAATTAATATATGACTGAAGTGCCTGCTTCCAGCTTTAATTCAAAAGGTTTAACAAACGTCGGAATTACAGTTATTTGTATATACAGTCCTCTAAATTTTAAAATTATAAGAATTAAGCGGACAAACCAACATCATTTTAAATATGAGGATTCTTTTGAATACTTTTGCAGTCATTGAGGTTTGAAACCCATGGACATCACGAAATGCTTTCTCCCTTGAAATGCGCTGCTAGGTCTTTACTGCAGCCACCTCAGCTGCTGCTTGTTTGTGGGTCTCTCTGCCTTCTTTTTTGTATTTATTAATTGTAAAGCATGCTTTGTTTGGTTGAGATCAGGTGACTGATTTCATCATTAAAGAAACTCTTTCTTATGATCCATAAAGTCTGTTCATCTTGACATTTCTTCAGGGGAAGAAACGTTTTGTCACTCATCCAAGCTAGACTGGGATTGGATGACTGAGGATGCATCTTATACTTTCACCCTCCCATCATTCTGGTAAAAGTTTATTGTAGTTTCTTCAGACCAGAGGAATTTTTCAGATCTGCACAGGCTCTTTTAGATGTTAGACATGTCTGATCTGACCTTCTGGTTCTTTAGTGTTTTGCTGTTTTGCAAACCCTTTGTATATACATTTATGAAGGTGTCTCCTGATTAGAGACTTTGACAACAATAATCCTGTGGTCTTGCACTTTAGCTGTCTTCCGTGGTCTCCCAGGTATTTAGATCCTGTTGAGATCTTTTTTAACAATGGTAATCATTTGGCCATTCCAAAAGTTTTTCTCTCTGATAAATTTATTTAGTTTGTAAGCCTAATGATGACCTCCCTGAATTACACTGACGTTTCTTTGGGGATGATGACAATGAAAAGCTATAAAATCCAGTTTCAACAACTGATATTATGTCTGCTCAGTTTGTGTTGAAATCACACAATTACCCTCCTTTAAACATGAAACTACTTTTCAGTCAATTAACAAACTAATTTTGAGGAAATAGATGTATATGAAAATGGCTGTAATTCCTAAATAGTTAGTTAAAATTTATTTTTAATTTAAATTAAAGCTGAAAGCCTGCATTTCGGTTTTCTCTTGGTTGTTTGATTTTAAATCCATTTTCCTGGTTTACACAGGCAAAGCCAAAAAAATGTACAGTATAATAGTATATTTTTGCATTTCACTGAATATTTGAATGCGGCTGTTTAGAAATTATACTATACTATATCATAATATTTTCTCCAAAAACATATATTTGTGCCAACCCATAAAACCCATGAAGCTCTGCTTTTTCAGCTACCTAAGTATTAAAATTTGGTCATAACTTATTTCAGCTTGTGATTTTGATGGTAATCTGGGGCTCATAGTAGCATTTAAACTGCTACTATGCTATTAATCTTAATATTTTCTATGCATGTATTAGATGTGTTGCATGTATTGCATTATAATCAAAAGTATTACCCCATTAATATCACAGTATTACATATTTTAACCAAAGTATTGAACTGATATAAACACTTTTTTTTCTACCAGGTTCGTAGCAACCTAAATACTATTATTTCTAACTAGCTTTCCTGACTAATGCTATGTTATTACTGAGCCAATGAAGATGACTCTTGTTGTAAATGCTGTCAGTTCACGGATTATCTGCCCAGCAAAAGGACAAGTGTATAGTTGTGAGTGCGATACTTACAGCACACCGACTACTTGTTACGTCAGCACGTGTTATGTCTGTGCAAAACTCCTAAAGTAACCCTCAGTGGAGAGTGTAACACTTACAGCAGTGTGTGGCAGTGTGTGGCTGAGATGTCTGCTGGTGGGAGTGGAGGTGGGGGTGGAGGTGGAGGTGGAAGGCTTGCAGTGGCCCTCGCTGCCTGCCCTGGGTCGGCGCCAGGGGCAGGGAGGGGGGAGCAGTGCAGGGCTGTCCACACATGAGCGCATGCTCTGCAGATGGGTCAGAACAACAGCACACACTTCACACACACAGCATGCATGGAGCTGGGCAGGCCAGTTATATCATTAGTGCCATGCAGTTTAACATTTCACAAAAACAATGCTTGAAGTGCACTAAGGACGAGGGACAGTACTTTTTATTAGAGAACACTGGTGAGCAGTTAGCCTGTGTAGTTTCTTGCACTCGTTTTCTCATGCCCCGTGAACAAGTATAATCTTAAGCACTTGCTCACACTTAATACATGCATAAGACCATTTTAAACAGACTACTGCTATTTATGTACTCCTGCATTTATACATTCAGAACTTTTATGCTGATTGTTAAAAACCTAATTCTGAAAAAGTTGGAACTGAAAAATGTAAATAAAAACAGATTCCAATGATTTACAAATCTCATTAAACTCATATTTTATTCATAGTAGAACAAAAAAAAACCCAACCCATGTCAAATGTTTAATCTGAGGGATTTTACTATTGCATGACAAAAATTAGCTCATTTTGAATTTAAAGGCAGCAACTTTAAACATTTCTTCATCTACAGTACACAATACAACCAAAGGATTCAGAGAATCTGGAAAAATCTATGCAAAAAAGACAAGGTTGAAAATCAGCATTGGATGCTCTCTAAGGCAGCACTGCTTTAAAAACAGGCATGTCACAGAAATCACTGCATGGGCTGAGGAACACAGCTCCCTGTGCCATCCACAAATGGATGTTAAAGCTCTATCTTGCAAAAAGAAGCCATATGTGAACATGGTCCAGAAACGCTGCTGTCTCTCTGGGACAAAGATCACTTAAAATAGACCATGTTTGGAAAACATGGACTCTGCATCCTCTGGATTAAAAAGGAACGGCAACAGCTGACTTGTTTTCAGTGCTGAGTTCATAAGCCAGCGTGTCTCGTGGTATGGGGGTGAATCAGCGCCTATGGGATTGGTACCTTTAAAGGGACTATCAGCGCTGAAGGTTATATACAGTCCTCTCCACAGAAGTCCAACAATTGGTCTCTCTGGTTCCCAGCCATTTACTTATTGTAGCTAAGCAAAGAGGAGATACCCATCCCAACTTATTTTTTCTGAAAATGGTGAATTTCTTAGTTTAAATACTTGATGGTTTTTATTTTTTGCTATTGTAAATAAAATATGGTCTTATAAGATTTGCAAATCATCACATTCTGCTTGTATTTGCATTTTACACAGCATCCAAAAATCTTTGTAACTGGGTTTGTAGAAACTTCTATCTGCGAACCACAGTATTCCTGATATAACCTCAGTCCTTACACCTCTCTTAGTCCACTTCAAGAAAACAAATGTGCAGTGTTAGTTTAAATGATCGAAACAGTGACAAAAATATCCGGAAATTCAACTTCCACAAATAAAATGAGACATAACACAGCACAGCTTAGTCAAGTTGAAGTCATGCTCCTATGTGTCACGCACCTTCTGCTCAATAAAGTGACAACAACAAAGTGAATTATGTCATCACGCAGCTTCGGACAATTTGTGTTTTTTGTCAGCGTCGTTATACTAAACATGTTTTGAAAGTGTAACTTGATGTG